TATATTATAGGACACAATTGGTCAGTTTGGATAAACTCCTCAGTTTGGGGTAGAAACGCAAGGGAGGTTCAAGCTTTTGGTCGTTCTGAATTCAATATTGACAATAAATATTTGGATTTTGACTTTTTTTAAATAGGCTTGGAAAAGCTTTATAAATATTTTCATTTTAAAACATCGAGCTTGCAAGGCCATAGTGATAGAGGGCACAACACGGGATGTTTTCCTAAACATAGTAAATCTAGAGTGTTATTAGTGATCTGTCCCAACAGTGTGATTTGCAAAAATAACAGCGCAGCTACTAACCTACTAAATATCGATATAATTGAAGATGCACATTTATTGTACTAACAGAATTATAGGAACCGACCAGTGCAGTTAACAAGGAAAACACAAAAGGGTTACTTAACGCAAGGACACTTAATTAACTAAGGTATGGCACGATTTCAAGAATCAGTTTCCTTGACAGCAGGACAGTATCTAATCCGACTAGAGCTAATTAAGCCATCCCCTCCCCCACCCCAACTATAAAGTCTGTGATATCCGCACAATCATCTGAGGCAGAAATAAATTAGATGGATCTCGAATTTGCTTTGCATCACAGTGCCTTGCTCAACTTAATCGTAGAGAGTGTTTTAGAAATACAACAAAATGCCGAATTTTCACCGTGACCGAACCGGGATTGTTTTCTAAATTTAAATTATATCTTCAAGGTAGGTGCTACTTGTGATGAACTTTAGAAGGATGGGATGGTAATACTCAGTCTGGCCGTCTGGAAGCCAATAGAATTCCAGTTCAGAAACCGAGTAAGGAGGTGCGGCTACTGATGAGAAGCCTCTTTAAAGTTTATTTGGGTTAGAAACGACATTTGGGTCCCTACCCTCGCACAAGATTATTTTCAATTATCTTGTTGTGTTCCACAACTGTACTTATAGTTCTGTACACTTCAGTGATTGGGCTGATGACTAAAATAGAAGCGCTGGTGACTCTAGTCTTCTAGTGAAAGTACTGGTGACGATGAGAAAGACCATAAAAGCATAAACCAGGGATTCCTTCGGGAGCATGTAAGATTATATCCAAAGTTTGTTCGCCAATGGGGTGTGTCTGGTTGTCAAAGATTTTCAAGGTGGGTGCTACTTGTGATTAACTCTAGAAGGATGGGATGGTAATACTTGGTCTGGCCGTCTGGAAGCCCATAAAATTCCAGTTCAGAAACCGAGTAAGGAGGTGCGGCTACTATTACTACTACTATGTCGGAGCTAAGTCCGATCTACGACAGAAAACCCCTTCCATATATCCCTGTCCCGCATCAGGGTTCGCAGTTCCTCTTTAGAGTTTGTCCCAACTTCCTTCAGTAACATAGACAAGTAGCTTTGTCTTGGTCGGCCTTGCTGTGCTCTACCGTGCGTAGGTTCCCATAAGACTAAATCACTGGCAAGTAGCTCAGGATGTCGGATGCAGTGTCCCGTCATTTTTAATCTCCTGCTTCGTAACTTGTTTGACAGCCTTGGGAGGCTACCATACAATGTTATATTGCTGACCTTGTCCTTCCATGAGATACCCAGCACCATACGCAACATCTTTGTGTATGTCCCGTCCAAACTTTTCTCGTGAGCCTTTGTCAGTGTCTAGGTTTCTGATCTGTAGAGCGGTGCTGATTCACAAGCCGCTATGAACAATCTAATCTTGAGGCTCTTTGAGAGTTTGGATTTCCAGATATCCTTCAGTCTATGTAGGGCACCCCACGATTTTCCCTTTCTGACCCTTATCTCCCTATCTGTGCTCTCAATCCAGGAGCCTAAATCATCTACATTTTCTATGGCTTCCCCGGATCGACTTTGTAGGTCGCTAGATCGATCCTCCATATTCAGTGTCATGACCTTGGTCTTGCCTTCGTTTATGTGTAGTCCCACGCTTGCTGCCGCCGATTCTACTCCGAGCAGGAATTCGTTAGCCTTGTCCATGTCCTCAGATATATTAAGTGCTATATCATCTGCAAAGTCCACATCGGTGATGATCTTGGGCCCCACTCTTCTGCTTTTTCTACGTTCGAGAGTGAGTTCAAGTCGCTCCGCATCATCGCCTATGGCTTGCCTCATACAGTAGTCGATGACTATTGCAAAGAGGTAAGGTGCTAAGGTATCACCCTGTAACACACCTGCAAGTATCTCGAACAATTCAGTTTCTCCGTCTGGAGTTAGGACTTTGGCCATTGTCTTCTCGTACATGAGCCGTATAAGCTGCACGATTTTGACTGGAATGCCGTACGCTTCTAGAATCTTTAGCATTTTCCCACGATGTACACTGTCGAAAGCCTTCTTAAAGTCTATAAATGTCAGAACAGCTGGCAGTTTCCGACTCTTGACACCCTCTGATGAGATCGAGCCTCCTTAGTTTATTTTGGTAAGTTTATTTGAGTAAGAAACGACATTTGAGTCCCCACCCTCGCACAGGATTATTTTCAATTTTCTTGTTGTGTTCCAAAACTAATTCAAAGAATTATTTTTGTATAAAAATGTACAGGGTGGGCCAAAATTCAGTGTGCAAACGTTGGCCTTGATAGCTCAGTCACTGAGTGCCCAAGTGAAATAATTTGTTCTGGTATGACTTACTACCACCACCGGTTCGAGAAATTTGTCAAATCGAAACATATTTGTGTTCATTTTTTTTCAAAAGAAGGTTCATTTTCGTATTTATTTGATAGTTTGGATAGTCGGATCGAGCCAAATTTTATTGAATTGTGTTTGGCCATTTAAATTACGTTTGCCCTGAAAAAATGAGAGTTCTAGCTTCTCAGATGACCGAGGTATGAACCTTAACGATGTTATTCATTACGTGTGATCAGGTGATTGGCTTACCTGATCATGTGATTAGGTGACCCCGTTAACCAACCCATTAAACATTATGGGAATCGTTAAGGCTGGCCTGCCCAATTAAGGTGTCATGTCACGGTGTCACATAATCACCCAGTCAATTTTGTTAACGAGATACACAAAATGCTTGATAACTTCGTCATTTCTAATCCGTTTCACTTCATTTTTTCAGATCAGATGCAACATTTAATAATCTACCATCTCTGAAAAAATTAGACATCTAGCATGTTTGGGAAGAACAATATAAGTGTTTTAATATTGAATGAGCGTGGTCTAAAATATTCGAATTTTCAAATTTTGGTGACGTAATCCTCGAACCAGTAGGTACAGTAAACCATCTGCAAAGCAACAACCCTCAAATATAAAACACGGCGGAGGTATAACCCCCAACGTTTGCACACTGACTTTTGGCCCACCCTGTATGTACGACCGCCCACGTGCAAATTAAGTAAAAAGCAAAAGTTGCACAGTAACCATGCTTAAGAGAATTGTTACACGCACGTGCACGTGCAATTATTGTTTTAGAGTCATTTTTATCTGTTTTGTGGTAATTACGCTGTGTTTAGTGCGAGCAACATTTTACTATTTTAATTGGCTGTATCTCCGGTTGTGTAGGATATTTTTTGACGTGATTTAAACTTATTAAACATATTATTAGCTTCTTTCCTGTGACCACGGTTTTTTTTAGTAAACTTATAAAGCATAACTCGACAACGCTTGTTGCTAATTTTTTCTTGCTCGCAATCTCTTAAAGTCTTAATAATGCTATTAACTTATTTGCAACGGCGCAGTAAACTTAAAGAAATTACGAAATTATTCTAACGTATATTTTACCTCACTTCTGACGTTAATTATAGAAAGTTTAAAGCCTTAATCAAAATTCTTAGAATGCCATAGCCAATTCCTATTATTTTTTACAACCCTGCTAAAAATGGCGAGGTTTCAACTTCATTTGCGAACTAAAATTAGTGTTACACTACTAGTTACCATAGTTACACTACTAGTTACCATAGTTACACTACAAGTTACCGTAGTTATACTACTAGTTACCATAGTTACACTACTAGTTACCAAAGTTATTGTAGTTACACTACTAGTTACCGTAGTTACACTACTAGTTACCATAGTTACATTACTAGTTAGTAGTTACCATAGTTACACTACTAGTTACCATAGTTACACTACTAGTTACCATAGTTACACTACTAGTTACCATAGTTACATTATTAGTTTCATATTAAGTAACTAGTAGTGTAACTATGGTAACTAGTAGTGTCACTATGGTAACTAGTAGTGTAACTATGGTAACTAGTAGTGTAACTATGGCAACTAGTAGTGTAACTATGGTAACTAGTAGTGAAACTATGGTAACTAGTAGTGTAACTATGGCAACTAGTAGTGTAACTATGGTAACTAGTAGTGAAACTATGGTAACTAGTAGTATAACTATGGTAATTAGTAGTGTCACTATGGTAACTAGTAGTGTAACTATGGTAACTAGTAGTGTAACTATGGTAACTAGTAGTGTAACTATGGTAACTAGTAGTGTTACTACGGTAACTAGTAGTGTAACTATGGTAACTAGTAGTTTAACTATGGTAACTAGTAGTGTAACTATGGTAACTAGTAGTGTTACTACGGTAACTAGTAGTGTAACTATGGTAACTAGTAGTGTTACTACGGTAACTAGTAGTGTAACTATGGTAACTAGTAGTTTAACTATGGTAACTAATAATGTAACTATGGTACACTACTAGTTACCATAGTTACACTAATAGTAACCAAAGTTTAGCAGAGAAGCGTGTTAATTGTTATGTGTCAATAATCTGTTGTACTATTATTTGGGTGTATTATTGTTTGGTACTCCGCTTATTAAGATGACCGTTACAAAAGATTCGGGTCAAAAAACACTTATAACTTATTAACTTTGCTTTTGTGAATTTTGTTTATTATTATTAAGTTTTCATTAAGCTTTTATTTTCAGCCGATTTGAGAAGATGAAGTGCTTGACCGGTTAATTTTCATAAGTTTCAGCACTGACCACAGATTCATCTTTTGAGTGATTTCCTTCTTTTAATATGACTTTATTACAACCATTAATGGAATTCCATGCAATAAATAAAACACACATTATTTGGAGACAGGCCAAGAAATAAATTTACTCTCGCAGGAAACAAACACTTGCAGACAGTAGACTATAGACTTATAAAGTGTAGAACAATTTGTATGTTAAGAAAATATGCCCTCAAAAATAAAATGAAATAAAAAGAAATTATTCACAGATTTACGTATTGAACGAAATTGCAAACCCAAAAACATAAAATTAATTTAGTTTAAAGATTATATTTTTTATTGATGCTTTTCATACAAAGTTAAAACAAATTCTTCATTTTGTGCATCCTGGGTTTGGACAGGATATGCCCGCCTAAATTATTCCCATCACGTTACATTACATAATTCTCAATAAATGTAATAGAATTGTAGTGTTGTAATTAGTTTAATTAAGTTTCACCAAATTCAAATACAAAATATATGATCCTAATGAAATTATCACTAATTCAATGTTCCTTAATTTTATATTTAATCTAAAATGTTGCTTCAAAACATTTTGCAGTTCGAAGGACCTAAAAATTGTCTCGAAATTGTCCGGTCCATCGCTGCTCAGACATATAACTTTAAATGTCCTTTAGTTTCGCTATCTCATCATGAAGTGCCTCATTAGCTTATTGCATTTTGGAATGCAGTCTTTTCACAGTAGTTGATGTTCTGATTGTTGCTCAACTATATGCGCCCTGAAATTATCAATGTAAAACTTCGCTCCAGTAGGTACAACAAACAACTATTTCATCATTAATGACCTGCAGTGTCACAAAGTTAATCACTAGTGTCATAAAGTTAATTACCAGTGTTACAAAGTTAATTGATTATATAATAACTTAAACACTATTGTATGCTGATTTCAATCCTGTTTTCACCCAACTGTCATCCTATAATCACTGTGCTCAAAGATTTGAAGTAGTTGAATGAGCAGTTTAATTTGAGAAAGCGCCCGTTGGTTAGCATTTGAATATTCATGTTTTAGGGTCGTTTACCTGGCCTGATGAACGTGGGTTTCTTTGTTTTACCTTGCATGGAGAAAAGAACAGCTCCTTCTTGGTTTACAATATTTGAATAATCATGATTTAAGGTGACATTACCTGATTACCTGGCCTGCTGTTTTATCTTACCTTGTGTGGACGAAGGAACCGCGTTTTGGGCTGTGTCTGCATGATACATTAGGTCCGACTTTAACAATACACCTGTAAATGTCCATGTTAAGAGTGACATTAAACTATACCCTGGATTGTTCTGAGGTACTAAAGTAAGAACTTTTGTCTTTCCCTCAGAAAGGCTAGTGTAAATTCAAAATCACAGATTAGCTAAGATAAAGATACTCTAAAGGATCAATTCTTATCTTGGGTATTTGAGAATGATTGTGAACAAACTCAGAAATAGCAGGAAAATTCTCCAACATTGTATTGTCAGTGAAACAAGGCTAATCGCTAAGTACTATGAAAAGCACAATCATTCGATCAAAATATTATGTGTCTTACCATCAAGTTACACTTAATAGGTCCGACGGACCTAAGGTCCGTGTTAGTACGCTTGCTGTCGTCGAGAAGAATCTGATCCCTTCAGAAACGAGAGGATCGTAAACTTCTTTTTTACTGGGTTAACTCTTGGAAAGAATTGAACATTGTTACACTAATAATAGGTTTTTGTGAATTTCAAAGATCTTAACAAGTGAATAAGTAAATAAACAATATTTTTAGGTAACTTACTTTATTGATACTGGTGATCTAGTCTCGCTAGCTCATCATTGTACTTCATTGCTTCAAGAAGGCAGCCTTTTCGCAATTGTTCTTTGTTACTAAATTATAAGCACCTGAAATTATCAATGTACAAATTTGTTGCAGTACAACAACAACTTATTTTATCATTAATCTTCACTATCACCATGGTGTTACAAAGTTAATTGAATATAATACCAACATACTATTTCTGCTGATTTCCTCTTCGTTTCTTACGAACCAATTGTTTTACTGTAATCACTTTGCTTTTCCAGATGCACCATAATATAGATTTGAAGTAATCGGATTCTAACATAAGTAATATTGAATCATGAGCCGTTTAACTTTATTTTGAGAAAGCCCCCTTTGGTCTATAGTATTTAAATATTCATGTTTTAAGGTGACATTACCTGACTTGATAAACGTTGGTTTCTTTGTCTTACCTTGTATTGACGAAGGAACAGCTCCTTCTTGCGGTGTCTGTATGATACATTAGGATCGTTTACAGCAATAAACCTGGAAAATTTCCTTGTTAAATGTGACATTAAACTATACCCTGGATTGTTGAGAGATATTAAGGTTAGAATTTCGTCTCTCCCTCAGAAAACCTAGTGTAAGTTCAAAATCACAGATTAGTTAAGATAAAGATACTTTTAAGGATCAATTCTTATCTTGGGTACTTGAGAATGATTGAGAACAAACTCAGAAATAGCAGAAAAATTCCCCATTAAACATTAAATCGTCAGTAACACAAGGCTAATCGCTAAGTGCTATAAAACGCACAATTATTCGATCAAAAGCTTGAGTGTCTTACCATCAACTATCACTCAATAGGTCCGTGTTAGTACACTTGCTGTCGTCGAGAAGAATGTGATCCACTTCATGACGAGAGTTGCTAATAAGCTCCGACATATATCGTCTGATTTTATCTTTTTAAGATATAAGGCGTCTACGTCAACACCTGTGATGGTGAATTGTTGTGAATTTTTACTCGACCATGTGGAGAAATAGCTGATAACAAGAAAAACGCGAGAAAACGATAGCTAATCGAAATATAACATTCAAATTATATCATGGCCTAAGCTGCAAAAGGAATACGTGATGCTACGCCAACATAAAAGTGTTCGATAATTTTACTTCGTTCAATATTCCGTTAACTCACGTTTTCATGTTCATAACTTAGATTGCCATCTTAACATATGAGCGTACGCTTCTTTTTAACTGGGTTAACTGCGTCTCGGAAAGAATTGAACATTGTTACACTAAAAGTTTTTTGTGAATGTCAAATATCGATTTAAGTCTACAAATATTTTGCGAAAAGATCTTAACAAGTTAATAAGTAAATAAACAACAGACGTGGACACCGCCGAAAATGCTGCAGTGGCGGCGTGAGGCCGTATTTCGCTCGGCGGCGGCGGCTGGAACCAATTTTTGGCAACATAATCATTGTACCACTGACTGACATCTTATAAGCTAATGTACACTTTGTATGCTAAGGTTCATTTCAAAATTGAATGACGATTTGAAAGAGCAACTATTTATACTCTGTTCAGCAACAAACAGATATTTGGCTACGATAACGGCAAAACTGATGTTACGAAATGTAGTATCAAATTCTTTTGTAACACCCGAATGTCAAGACTTGGAGGCTGGCCAAATTAAATTATTACTGTTTAGGCAAAAATTTGACATTCGGCGCGCCGATCGAAATTTATCGGCGGCGGCGGCGTGTCGAATTTATCGGCGGCGGCGGCGTACCGGCGGCGGCTCCCACCTCTGATAAACAATAATTTAAGGTAACTTACTTTATTGATACTGGTGATTTAGTCTCGCTAGCTCATCATTGTACTTCATTGCTTCAGGAAGGCAGCCTTTTCGCAATTGTTCTTTGTTACTAAATTATAAGCACCTGAAATTATCAATGTACAAATTTGTTGCAGTACAACAAAAACTTATTTTATCATTAATCTTTACTATCACAATGGTGTTACAAAGTTAATTGAATATAATACCAACATTCTATTTCTGCTGATTTCCTCTTTGTTTCTAACGAACCAATTGTTTTACTGTAATCACTTTGCTTTTCCAGATGCACCATAATATAGATTTGAAGTAGTCGGATTCTAACATAAGTAACATTGAATCATGAACCGTTTAACTTTATTTTGAGAAAGCCCCCGTTGGTCTATAATATTTAAATATTCATGTTTTAGGGTGCCTGCATTAACTGACTTGATATACGTTGGTTTCTTTGTCTTACCTTGCATGGACGAAGGAACAGCTCCTTCTTGCGGTGTCTGTATGATACATTAGGATCGTTTACAGCAATAAACCTGGAAATGTCTTTGTTAAATGTGACATCAAACTATACCCTGGATTGTTGAGAGATATTAAGGTTAGAATTTCGTCTCTCCCTCAGAAAGGCTAGTGTAAGTGTAAAATCACAGATTAGCTAAGAAAGAGATACTTTTAAGGATCAATTCTTATTTTGGTTATTTGAGAATGATTGTGAACAAACTCAGAAATAGCAGAAAAATTCCCCATGAAACATTAAATCGTCAGTAACACAAGGCTAATCGCTAAGTGCTATAAAACGCACAATTATACCATCAACTATCACTCAATAGGTCCGTGTTAGTACACTTGCTGTCGTCGAGAAGAATCTGATCCGCTTCATGACGATCAGAGTTGCTAATAAACTCCGAAAAATCTCGTCTGCTTCTATCTTTTTAAGATATAAGGAGTTTACATCAACACCTGTGATGGTGAATTGTTGTAAAATTTTACTAGACAATGTTAACGCGGAGAAATAGCTGATAACAAGAAAAACACAAGAAAAATGATAGCTAATCGAGAAATAACATTCAAATTTAATTATGGGCTCAGCTGCAAAAGGAATACGTGATACTACACCAACATAAATGTGTTCGATAATTTTCCTTCGTTCAATATTCCGTTAACTTACGTTTTTATGTTCTTAACTAACTAGGTGGCCATCTTAACGAAGGATCGTACGCTTCTTTTTTACTGGGTTAACTGCGTCTCGGAAAGAATTGAACATTGTTACACTAATTTAAATAGGTTTTTGTGAATGTCAAATATCGATTTAAGTCTACAGATACTTTGCGAAAAGATCTTATCAAGTAAATAAGTAAATAAACAATATTTTAGGTAACTTACTTTATTGATACTGGTGATTTAGTCTCGTAGTTTATCATTGTAGGTACTTCATTGCTTCATGAATGTAGCCTTTTCACAGTTGTTTTTTGTTACTCAATGCACCTTATAAGCACCTAAAATTATTAATGTAAAAATTTGTTCCAGAACAACAAACACCTATTTTATCAATAATATTTAGTGTCGCAATGGTGTTACAAAGTTAATCGATTATATAATACCAAAATACTATTTCTGCTGATTTCCTCCTTGTTTCTAACGAACCAATTGTTATACTGTAATCACTTTGCTTTTCCAGATGCACTGTGATATAGATTTGAAGTAATCGGATTATAACATAAGGCATGTTGGATCGTGAGCCGTTAAACTTTATTTTGAGAAAGCCCCCGTTGGTCTATAGTATTTAAATATTCATGTTTTAGGGTGCAATTACCTGACCTGATAAACGTTGGTTTCTTTGTCTTACCTTGTATGGACGAAGGAACAGCTCCTTCTTGCGGTGTCTGTATGAACTATGATACATTAGGATCGTTTACAGCAATAAACCTGCAAATGTCTTTGTAAAATGTGACATTAAACTATATTCTGGATTGTTCTGATATATTAAGGTTAGAATTTCGTCTCTCCCTCAAAAAAGCTAGTGTAAGTTCAAAATCACAGATTAGCTAAGATAGAGATACTTTAAAGGATCAATTCTTAACTTCGGTTTTAGTGAATGATTGAGAACAAACTCAGAAATAGCAGAAATATTCCCCAACATTAAATCGTCAGTAACACAAGGCTAATCGCTCAGTGCTATAAAACGCACAATTATTCGATCAAAAGCTTGAGTGCCTTACCATCAACTTACACTCAATAGGTCCGTGTTAGTACACTTGCTGTCGTCGAGAAGAATCTGATCCGCTTCATGACGAGAGTTGCTAATAAGCTCCGACAAATCTCGTCTGCTTTTATCTTTTTAAGATATAAGGAGTCTACGTCAACACCTGTGATTGTGAATTGTTGTGAATTTTTACTATACCATGTGGAGAAATAGCTGATACCAAGAAAAACTTAAGAAAACGATAGCTAATCGAGAAATAACATTCAAATCATATCATGGGCTCAGCTGAAAAAGGAATACGTGATGCTACGCCAACATAAATATGTTCGATGATTTTCCTTCGTTCAATATTCCATTAACTTACGTTTTCATGTTCTTAACTTAGGTTGCCATCTTAACATTGGAGCGTACACTTCTTTTTTACTGGGGTACTGCGTCTCGGAAAGAATTGAACATTGTTACACTAATAGTTTTTTGTGAATGTCAAATATCGATTTAAGTCTACAAATATTTTGCGAAAAGATCTTAACAAGTAAATAAGTAAATAAACAATAATTTTAGGTAACTTACTTTATTGATACTGGTGATTTAGTCTCGCTAGCTCATCATTGTACTTCATTGCTTCAGGAAGGCAGCCTTTTCGCAGTTGTTCTTTGTTACTAAATTATAAGCACCTGAAATTATCAATGTACAAATTTGTTGCAATACAACAAAAACTTATTTTATCATTAATCTTCGATTCTTCACCTATCAGTATCACAATGGTGTTACAAAGTTAATTGAATATAATACCAACATACTATTTTTTCTGATTTCCTCCTTGTTTCTAACGAACCAATTGTTTTACTGTAATCACTTTGCTTTTCCAGATGCACCATAATATAGATTTGAAGTAGTCGGATTCTAACATAAGTAATATTGAATCATGAGCCGTTAAACTTTATTTTGAGAAAGCCCCCGTTGGTCTATAGTATTTAAATATTCATGTTTTAGGGTGCCATTACCTGACCTGATAAACGTTGGTTTCTTTGTCTTACCTTGTATGGACGAAGGAACAGCTCCTTCTTGCGGTGTCTGTATGAAACATAAGGATCGTTTACAGCAATAAACCTGCAAATGTCTTTGTGAAATGTGACATTAAACTATATTCTGGATTGTTGAGTGATTTTAAAGTTAGAATTTCGTCTCTCCCTCAGAAAACCAAGTGTAAGTTCAAAATCACAGATTAGTTAAGATAAAGATACTTTTAAGGATCAATTCTTATTTTGGGTATTTGAGAATGATTGTGAACAAACTCAGAAATAGCAGAAAAATTCCCCGACATTAAATCGTCAGTAACACAAGGCTAATCATTAAGTACCATAAAACGCACAATTATTCGATCATGAGATTGAGTGTCTTACCATCAACTTACACTTAATAGGTCCGTGTTAGTACACTTGCTGTCGTCGAGAAGAATCTGATCCGCTTCATGACGAGAGTTGCTAATAAGCTCCGACATATCTTGTCTGCTTTTATCTTTTTAAGATATAATGAGTCTACGTCAACACCTGTGATGGTGAATTGTTTTGAATTTTTACTCGACCATGTGGAGAATTAGCTGATAACAAGAAAAACGCAAGAAAAACGCAAGAAAAACGCAAGAAAAACGCAAGAAAAACGATAGCTAATCGAGAAATAACATTAAAATTATATCATGGCCTCAGCTGCAAAATGAATACGTGATGCTACACCAACATAAATGTGTTCGATAATTTTCCTTCGTTCAATATTCCGTTAACTTACGTTTTCATGTTCTTAACTAACTAGGTCGCCATCTTAACCAAGGATCGTACTCTTCTTTTTAACTGGGTTAACTACGTCTTGGAAAGAATTGAAGATTGTTACACTAATAGTAGGTTTTTGTGAATATCGGTATTTCTAATTCTAATATAAGTAATGTTGGATTATGAGCCGTTTGAGAATGCCCCGTTGGTCAGTATTAGAATATTCATGTTTTAGGGTGTCATTACCTGGCCTGCTTCTTTGTCTTACCTTGAGTGATACAAACTCAGAAAATCTGAAGATGTCTCCGTATTAATGACACAAGGCTCATTGCCAGTTTCACAATACGCACAACCATTTGATGATCAAATATTGATCACGCAATAGAATATTAGATGATTGGGATAAAAATCTTGTGTATTTTATTGTCAACTTACATTATAGTTAAGCTTAGTCGTCGAGAATTAGGGCCTGATCCGTTTCAATATGATGAGGAATGCTCATAAGCTCCAGGAAATCTCGTCTGCCTTTATACTTATAGTAATGGACTTCAGAACTTGTGTTGCAGAAAATTGTTGTGAATTTTGCTCGAACATGTGGAGAAGCGCGGCTGGTATCAGAAATAAGCGCAGGAAAACTTTTTAAAATCGAGGAGTAACGTTTTTAATGCTATCAGTGGGCTCGGCTGAAAAAAGGTTCAAGATACTGCGCCAAAATAAATTCTTTTAATGATTTTCTTATCCAGTACTACTTCTTTGTTGATTTACATTTAAGACCGTTTTTTACGCAATTTCATGCTCATAACTTTTTCGCGATCCAGGATTACAGACTTTTACATTCGCGCGGTCTTACAGGATATTGGTTCATTTGCAATGAACTCGGTGAACTGAATTTCGAAAAGAATCGAATTATGTTACACTAATAAAGTTTAGTTAATCTTAGATTTACGTCAAAATAAGTATTTCCGGAAGATGTCAAGAATTAAGTATTAGTAAGGAAACAAATTTTGCAGGTCGATAACTTACTTTTTGGATTCTGGTCACTGCAAGACTCTATAAATTCCATATCTTCGTGCAAATCAGTTATAGTGGTCTGGTACTACTCCAGGGATCCTCGTGCTACTCTGTACTCTGTAGTCGAATAGTTAGTTGATTTCTTCATGGTTATGTCTATTATTTATCCTGAAAAGAAGATCAGTTAACGCACCGATCTTTATTTTCTGTTGACACTTGCAAATATACCAAGCAAATTGGGGTACCTTAGTTCCCAAAAATTTGTGTGCCATTATATTGAGCACAATTTATTTGAGCCCGAAAAATTTGGGCAGAAAATTTGAACTCATTTGGGCGACCGAAAATTTGGGCACAAATTCTTCGAAAAATGAACGATTTTCCACTAAAATTTCAGTTAGATATTTGCCTTAGTTCATTATTATTCCTTATTATTCCAGTCATTTTGCTTTCAATTTTAAGCATGTAGGTGGTAGTCTGAGTTGTTTCACATTATGAAATTTACGATCTGCCCAGTAACTACTAAAAAATACAGTGATGATGGCAGTGCACAGTACAAAATGATAGATATACAATAGTGATATTTAGTGTCTCAATCAGATAGTTTATTCTACTTACACTCAGCATATCTTATCATACCCCTTTCACATACAATTATCATTATGACGCCTCACCAGGTGGTCGAAAGGTTTGACCAGTGTCCAGTTCTTTGAGAAAATCCTTCTTCCCCATCAACAACCCTGAGCAGAAAGCGCTACTGATATCAGATGTGTTTCGGGCCCAACACACACAGACACTAAATTAAGATTTGATGACAGCCAACAACTGCATCCTACAGAAAGTTCCAGCTAATATGACCCATCATCTACAGCCCCTGGACATATCTATCAATGGACTGGCTAAGAAATTCATGCGCAATAAGTACGAAGATTGGTACGCGAAAAACATAGTGTGTCAGCTCAATGGAGGAGTTTCATCAGACAATGTGAAAATTTATACCCGCTTGACAGTGATCCGTGAAGTACACGCTCGTTTAAAAGGGAGGCCAGATGACATAAGGAAAGGCTTTGAGAAGTTGGGTATAACTGATGCTTGTAGATCAGAATTTACGGTGGATGATAATCCATTTGCAGATCTTGTTTAAATTTCTAGCTATCCGTACCTCTAGCCATTTGTTTTATTAGTAGCTGTTAGCTATTCCAGTTATTTCTATTCATTTAAAATATAAGCCTTTTTACTTGGTCAAGCCATGAATGACAGATTAGAAAACTAAAATTTCAAATATTATTTCACTTGGATATGAAGAAAAAGCCATCTTTCTATAGATTTCAGGGCCACAGGCCAAATGCCAAAAGTTTGGTTAGCAAAAAATTTAGCAGACGGAAAAGATTTATGCAATTAATTTGGTCTGCAAAAAATTTGGGCGAGAGGCCCGCTCAAATTTTTTGTCGCCCAAATTTTTGGGAATTAAGGTATGTCGTAAATTAGATATAAATTAAAGTTTTAAATTAAAATCATTATTAATACTAATAGTAACTATGAAATAGATAAATACAATATAAATACTTAAATATTTGAAAGTTTAACTAAAGCCCTCAAAATAGTAGTAGATTATGATATACGTCTATTCATGTTTGTGTAAGCAGATTAGTATTCATAAATGAATGTTGATAATTTAAGAACATACCAAACCATGAGCTCAGTTGAGTTCCGTCTGATGAAGTCTGATGAAGTCTGGCTCACTGTCCGTCTTAATAAAGTACGATCTGACTGCAACGATGTAATCAATCTATAATTCGACATATTATTGGGTTATGTGACAGGGAGAGATTTCAGATTTTAAGCGAAAATAACCAAAAGTAGGATATTTGGTAGACTAAGATAACAATTACATAAGTATCAAATACATTAATTATTAGCCTAAAATAAGTTTCAAACCTTAGAGGTAGTTTTAAGCAGGTATAACTATGGAAATAAAAACGTGACATTAAACAAAAGAAATTGATAGAAATTATCAAGGTTTATCGATCAGCATAGATGTAATCTTAGTTTAACCAAATTGATTTACCAATGTTTAATGCGAAAATAGTGCTACACTAAACAGTAAATTAGTAAAACGTTTCACGGCTAAAATATGCAATAATTTTTAGGGAAAGTTTAATGAAATAGCTTCATTATCCAAATATAAACTCTCAAATTAAACTGTGAGCAAACCTGGTTGGAAGCTGATTGAGATCCATTAGTTATCGCCATCTGTTTATCTTTTAGTCTTGATACAATCGTCATTTTCGGTATACTTCACTTGAAATATGACAAAAACAGTTAATTGATATCAATTTCACTTTAGAAATAAGCTATAAACTTATAAAATGCTCATTCTTTTTCCATATTTTATGTAAAATTTGAGTATGATATGTTACATTTATTTGGAGCTATTAGATGAAAACATGAAACTTGTAAGTGAAGTTATCCCGTATTTTTGTCAATTATGGCCATCAGGAATTGGGTTTTCGCGATGAGCATGCATTCATCACTTAAAATTTACTTACTTGTGAACCTCGATAGAAATCCCCTCTAATCCCCCGCAAAAACTTAACGGTCGAGTATATTTGTTCGCTGAGTTTCAAACTGGCGTCTCATAATGTTGACTGCTAAAATTTGTGCAGTTGATCTTAAATTTTAGTGTTCATCCTACTGGCTTTATATAATAGAAACAAAAAATATCTTAGTTAATAATTATTATATCTGGTTATAACTCCGAGATCATATCATGTCAGTATATTTTACAGCGCGCGCGAAGTTCATGGGTACACATTTTTTGCTCTGCAACCGAAAGTCTTAAACATCCTGAAATAAAGATGTTCGGTTAGGGCTATCATCTGATAAAAACTTTTTAGATTACTCCAATGAATCAGTTGTGGGATATAAAGAAACTTAAAAAGCTTCATTGTGTGTTTTCACACATACTTCACTCTAATGTATACCGTGAACATATCATACTTGCTAATAGGTATATAGTAAGTTTTATAATGAGTAGTCTCACCTTGTTTCCCGATTACCACTATCTCGTACACACCTGGAACGTAACTTTTGTTAATCAACTCTAGCTTCACCGTTTCTCCGTATTTGCAGCTGGATTCAGGTGATAGGTTATCAAGTGCTGCTCCCTCTGTGTACACTGTGAGGGCGTAATTGCTACAGGAGCTGCCACCCTCACAGGTACTACAGTCTCTTATAGAGCAGGTCCAGGTGTAGGAAGGATTACCATCTTTACTAAGCCGTATCACTTGTTCAACACAGTGAACCTGGTCTAGTGTTATCTTCAACCAGCTTTTACTGTCAGAACCAGGTGCTGTGTAGGAGGAAGTCTCCAGGTCAAGGTCTATAGCGTGGTTAGCAGCGTACTTCTCCTCGTTATCAATCATTGTGCGGGACTGTGCAGCACTGACTGGGACTATCTCACCATCCAGTCTTTCTCTCTTAGCTGCAATAACACGTATTACTTATACAGTACCTTTATAATATGTAACTAACGATATTTTTAACTGGCTACCGTACGAGCACTAAAGTTGATTTCAATTATTATATTTCAATTATTATATTACGAATAATTTGAGCTAGCCTGATGGTATTCAGAGAGTGCATTAATGTAATGTACTGCGAGCTGGTCCCAAGTCCAAACGCCATGCCATCATTTCATTTTCATTATAATAACCTTATGTAGTTATTGACTACTGATGCGTAGGTTTATAATACAAGATTTATTGAAGAAACAC